GGTAAGGACGTTCTCCAGGGCCCAAAAGGTAATATAGCATAAATATGTGAAGTACACCTGCATTATGGAAACAGTACAACAAAATGGCCGTTTTACACTTTTTTCTAGAAAATTCCACTCTAATATATATTCTATTCTATTCTTTTCAGGAAAACAAGGGCATATTCAGAAATTTTTTTAGGAGCGGGGGGCTTGATACTTTTCCCTTTTCCTTCCAGGTTAGGGGGCGCATAAATTTCCGTGACCCCTGGGGGTGGAGTGGGGGCTTAGCCCCAAGAGCCCCACCTGAATACGCCTCTGCAGAAAATCTTTTTCAAAGGAATTATTTATAGCTATAAATCTCTGCAAGCTGTTTAATATTTTAGCGTTGCGAGGCGGATTTTATGTCAGATTAAATATGACGGAATGCATACGTCGTCGATCATCAGTCTAAGGTTGAAATGATACCGTTGTGAATCAGACATGCCACCAAAATGAAAGGTCACTAGAAAAATTGAGTCCCTTAAATGCAATCTACATGATAAAGCTCTCGTTATATTTGTTATTATATATATAATATATATGTTAGCAGTCATAGCTGGCCAAACAGCTGGACCAAATTGGCTAAAATTTTTGTAGGGTAACGTAAGAGAAAAAAGGCCATATTTTTTCTTCAAAAATCCTATTTTTTTTTAAAAATCGATTTTTTTATTCAAAATTCGATTTAAAAATTTCCACGAGCAACGCCGGGCTAGTTGAATATATTGGTTGTCTCAAGGTTGAAAATGGTTGGACCCCCTGTGTTTACTCAATATATGATTTTGGTTCAACTTTTCTCTTTTCTGTGGAAACCCAGCATACCATTGGATACGGGCTCAGGTATATATTGTCAAATAAAACCAAGGAGTATAGAATAGAAGGGAGATACAACTGACACGGCCCGCCCTACCATTTGATTATATATGCTTTGCAGACGGTACTTCATTTGTATAAGAAATATTTGTCTGATGTACAATTACCGCGTATACAATAACCTATTCTGAATATTTCTTATTCAAATGTAGTACTGTCTGCAAAGCATGTATAATCATATGGTAGGGTGGGCCGTGTCAGTTGTATCTCCCTTCTATTTTATACTCCTTGACTAAAATATGTTCATTCTGACCTGAAAATACTTGGATAAGAATGCTTTTAAAAAGAAGCTAGAAGTTATTAAAAATCTAATGTCGCTTGAAAAGGACAGTTACCTTTTCTTTTCCATTTTTTAGAATTATTTTCTCCTGAAAAACTTAATTTGTAATATTTTCATAAATAAATAATACCTTTCTTACTTACTTACTTACTTACTTACCTACTTACTTACTTACTTACTTACTTACTTACTTACTTACTTACTTACTTACTTACTTACTTACTTACCTACTTACTTACTTACTTACTTACTTACTTACTTACTTACTTACTTACTTACCTACTTACTTACTTACTTATTTACTTACTTACTTACTTACTTATTTACTTACCTACTTACTTACTTACTTACTTATTTATTTATTTATTTACTTACCTACTTACTTACTTATTTATTTATTTATTTACTTACCTACTTACTTACTTACTCACTTATTTACATACTTACTTACCTACTTACTCACTTATTTATTTATTTACTTACCTACTTACTTACTTACTTACTTACTTACTTACTTACTCACACTAACACTTACTTACTTACTTACTTACTTACTTACTTACTTACTTACTTACTTACTTACTTACTTACTTACTAACTTGCCGATAATTTTTTCTTTTATGAGTGACTATCACACTTCGAAAGTTTTTTAGAACTTGTTCTGGTTATATAGCGCATTCTTTTTGGATATCTCCTTATCTTTCTGGAATCGAAAAATAGTTGGAAAACGCATTAGCTATAAAAAACCTCATATTTTTATATCCAGAATTTGAATTTAAATTTGCTTTTAAAGATTTTAGAAAAGATTTTAGGAAAAAATTAAACAGTATTTAACGGTTTAATTCAGAAGAATGTCTTATAAGTAGACAAGTAAAAATCGTATACGAGGACGGACCCCAAAGATTAAGAGGAGGTAAAAAAATCACTGAATCAAACCGACTGTATTGCAACAAACAGACAAAATGTCTTTGTTTAAAAGTTTTTGTTTCCATATTTAATCTTTTATTGTTTTAGAGGAAGCAGTCATAAGTGTCCCGATACCATCATTTTACAGTGTATCCAGTCGATTGCAGGAACAACGCTCACTTTTATATTTAATTTTAAAACTCTAATTAAAGAGAATGTTTTCGAAAATGAAATGGGTTAGGATAAACCATAATAGATGTATTTTAATTTCTGTCAGATGTTTTAATTTTTTTTCCTTCATCAAGGGTGTAGTAATATTTATTGCCGATATATCATTATTGTTTTCAAGATTTTAGGTCTGTAAGAATATTAGACCATGACAAAAAAGTCTTACAAGGACAGATTCAGCTTGCAGGAGGAGCCCTGTATGGTTCAGGGGCTAAAAAGCCAACAGTCAGGGGGCCGTTTGATCCACATCAGACTCCTGAAATTAAAATAGAACCAGTAAATTAATAAAAGGAAAGGCAAGTAAAATTATAAAAATATTTAATATTTCTTTAAATATTAAAAAAATTTCAGGGGTGTCAAGAGAAAAAATATCACTAAAGCTTTCCTTTCCTAAAGGATGATATGGTTTAAAATAATCTAACATTATTACTTTCTTTGTTTTTGACAAATTAAATCCAAGAGGGGGGTGTTTAGTGATATTTTTCCTTTTGACGCCCCTGAAGAAATATTTTTTGATCATTTCAAAGAAATATTAAATACTTTTATAGTTTTACTTGCCTTTACTTTTATTAATTTTACATTAATGGCACTGATTCTCTTTTAATTTCAGGAGTCTGATGTGGATCAAACGGCCCCCCTGACTGTTGGCTTTTCAGCCCCTGAACCATACAGGGCTCATTCTGCACACTGAATCTGTCCTTGTTAGACTTTTTTGGTCATGGTCTAATATTATTACAGACCTAAAATCTTGAAAACAATAATGATATATCGGCAATAAATATTACTACACCCTTGATGAATGAAAAAAAATTGAAACTATGTCCTGTTTCTGATGGATTAAAAGAATATAGGTGCAAAATTAACACCATTTATCTCTATTATTACAAGAGTTATTACAAACTTTAGGAGACTAGTGAGGTCCTTTATATTTGTAAAGAAAATCTTTTAAACTATGTTTTTTTTAGTAAAATTGGCTTTTAGATATCACAGCTCAAAATTATAACTAAATTAGAGGTTATTTTGGGAATTTTTCGGGGATGTTTTAAAGTTAAAGGTTTTGGGATATTTTAACTGACAAGGTTTGTCACGAAGGATAGACCTATAGTTCAATTATTGGTACGTACTACCTTCATTTCATTTAACGCGAACACTAAGTTTAAGTTCTTCAAATTTGCATGACATATTTAATTTGCATTGCATTACATTTGATTTGCATTGCATTATATTTAATTTGCATTGCATCCTATTTAATTTGCATTGCATTATATTTAATTTGCAGTCTGTAGAAAACCCTCAATTTGTTTTCACAGTAAAGATTTACAAGATTTTATAGGATTTAGATTTGAAAGTAAATAATTCTTTTCATAAATTTTAATATAATATCTGGGGGTTCAGTTAAACAATAAATTATTTTTTAAAGTAACGTTTATTTATCTCATAAAGGGATGAATGCTTTTAGATTATTGTTTTGTAATTTTCTAGAAAACATTTTTATAAAGAAACTGAGTTTTGTTCAGGGGTTCTAATACAAGCTTGCATGGCAGGAATAGTATTTGCAAAACTTGCGCGCCCTAAGAATAGAGCGCGCACAGTTACCTTCTCCAAGAACGCAGTGGTCTCCATGGTGAACGGGAAGCTGCGCTTGATGTTCCGAGTTGCAAACGCGCGCAATTCCCAGATTCTTGAAGCACACTACCGTGCTCTGCTCCTTGGGAACTTCACAACCAAGGAGGGGAGTACTTATAGGTAGGAGTCCTTTAGGTAGGAGTCCTTTAGGTAGGAGTCCTTTAGGTAGGAGTCCTTTAGGTAGGAGTACTTATAGGTAGGAGTACTTATAGGTAAGAGTACATATAAGTAGGGGTAGATATAAGTAGGAGTACGTATAAGTACAAGTACTTACTTTTAGGTAGTTGTGCTTATGGGTGGGAGCAGGAATTCATGAAATAGGATCAGGTTAAAAGAACATTTATACAGAAATGCAAAAAAAATGATTGTGTACTTTCCATTTCTTCAAAAAGGTCAAGGAAAAATATACATTTTAATCGAGCTTTGCCCCGAGTTTTATCATTTCTATTCAATTCTTTGAACAACATTAAAATATTTCCATTTTTCATCTTTTATATTCTTTGAAGGGTTGAGAATAGAGCTGTGAATCAATGGTTTGAGTTCCTGCAAGAAATAAAATACAATCTATATTATATCAAGAATATTTGATACAGTAGAAGATATTGAGATCACATTATTTTTAGTTTTTGATAAGAATATTACAGATTAAAGATGAAATATTTAATGAAATACAAAAACTTAAATAATTTCTAAATCTTAAAATGTAGGGTTTGGATAGAGGGGGGGGGGGGTCTAATTTTTTAGTTTTTGGTAAGAATATTACAGATTAAAGATGAAATATTTAATGAAATACAAAAACTTAAATAATTTCTAAATCTTAAAATGATAGGGTTTGGATAGAGGGGGGGGGGGGGGTTGGTCTAATGGCTGTCTATTACCACGTTGTGAACCAGTGAATGCAGGGTTCACTTGATATATTATCTGGACTTATTTTGTTAAATAATATATCTGATCTGAGCTGAAAACTTTTTTGTTGTGATCAAGCGTTGATCTCTATCTAGTGAAGACCTACGCTACGGATTAATTCAAGTCTTCCTAAATATCCTGTGGTGTTCATATCCGGATAGCGTTAATTGAGGGATCAAGCATTTTTCCTCAAATTTAAAAGTTCCCACGTCGGATGACGAGATCAAACGTTCAAAATTAACGATACTTCGCACAAAAGTTCCTGGTTTCATTTTGATAAAATTGACAAATATGATCTGTAGTTGAAAGGAATTGAATCTTTGCCACAAACTCAGATTTTCTAATCCCTATATATTTGCAACCCAATGTCGTAGACATTAGATATTTTAACAATGGATTCTGTACGATCTAATAATTGGAAGTTTGAAATATCAAAGGTTCTTTTGTGTGTTAAATGTCACTAAAATACTACGCTTGATCTCGATATTCTTTAGGGAAACTTTTAAATTTGAGAGATAAATGCTCGATCCCTGAAGTTAAGTGTAAAATCTGGATTCCCAAGAGGAGTTAAATTAATCCGCAAAGGAGAGGATCAATGCTTCATTCAGAGATTCACAAAAGTTCACACCTCGGGATCTCTTTATGATGAATAATATATATTCTAGAGTCTAGAGTATACATAGTACATACATACAGTATAATGCAGTTGAAGGAGCCTAAACATTAATCTTTCTTTCTTATTAAACACTGAAGAAACCTGGTATTGTTATATGAGTTCTGTTGAAAGTATAAAATACTTATGTTTTGTCGAAATCAATTCCTTTCTTACTCTGATCTCAAGCTGAACAGACAACAGGGATTATTAGATTTTCTGCTTTTCATTTCTCAGTATCTAGGCATCTATACTCTATAGGGGTGTACAAATTTAAATCTACAGGATTTGTTTTAAATCTTAATCTTGGTTTCTTTTTCTTAAGAGGAAGACCAACATGGCTAGTGCATGAAATAAGTTCTTCTTTGAGTTAAGCAATTAATTTTTAAATGTCTCATTAAAAAGGGGGAAAACTCTCAAATGTCGTCTTCCGTCCAAAATCTCTCAAAATGAATATTTACTAAAAATTTGTTATAAAATAAAAGTACATTTTTAAGAGAAAAAATGTTATGTGTATTAACATTGCTTTTGAAGTCTAACATTGTGGGGGAANACAGGTTCATTAAAGCCTTTATTTAAGTAACAATGAGGAAGATATCGTCGTTAATTTCTAAAACAAAAATAAGTTCCGTTAATTTCTCTCTATCTATTTTTAAGTTTAAAAGGCTTCGTTGCAAATCTGGCACAAACTCTTTAAACGGCGAGACACATGAAATTACTTCCATTGTCCATTTAATACATGTCATGTATATATGAACATATTTAAGAGAAGAAAGTACATGAATTTTATTTGTTCCATTTATTTATTTTAATATTTTGGTTCAGAATCCATTCAGGAGTCTTTTGAAGCATTAATGTTTGCTAAATTATTAATTTTCTCCGATATTTTTCAGAAATTTTCCAACAGAGCTCCCCCTGACAACACAGATACAGGAAGATGAAGACGCAGAAAGAAAGGAAAAAGAGTTAACATTTAAAGATTCAAAAATGTTTTTAAATCATTTTTCTTTTTAAGCGAAGTTTTTGATTTTATTTCAATGTTCTAAGATTGGAATTGAATATTGGAATTTAAATGAACTACTTTTGTTGGCCTACTTTGCACTAATAAGCCGAAAACTACAAAATGGACGAAAAAAGAAAAAATCCTGACTCTCTACGCTAGGAGATAAATCGACCTTGATTACGCATAAGTTTTTTTTTATTTTTTATGTAAACAAAGATAAAAAGATTTCATAGTGTATATCTTGGGTTTGGCCAATAATAATCTTTAGCTTTGAATCAGTCGATTTTACTCAAAATCATTTAATTCAGCCCCAGGGGATTTATAAATCTCTCTCAGTGAGGTTCGTAAAAGGCAAACAGCAGTTTGAAAATTTCTTTAATACTCGGTCATTCCAACTTCATGTTGGATTTTGTAATTATAAATTACGACCGCTAATGGATTCATTTCTTTTCTTTTTCCAATCCTCTAATTGTTCTCATTTTCTTCAGTTTTCCTTGAAAACCAAGGGTTAACTCTTGAAGCAGGAATATGGCCATGTCTTTCTACCTCTGCTTGTATGTCATACAATAGACAGGAACAGTCCCTTATATAATATTACTCCAGCACAGCTACTTCAGAGCAAGTAAGTCTTCAAAGGATTGTTCGCTCAACTGAACATGGTGTCAATTTCTTTTTCTAATAGAATAATATATTGATCTGAAAGATGCATTCTTTGCACGGTCAAGAGATATATAGATGTACAATAAACAGTATTTGGCTCAGAAACTTTTGTTGATTTTGAAAATGCACCAATTTAAACAGGAAAATCAGTGAAAATTTGGGAACGATTTAAAACACATGGCGACTTTCAGAGCAAAGTTAAAAGTTTAAATAGATAATAAAAAAGGGAGTGCGAAGTGCTCTGAAACCTAGAATTATACAAAATACCAACATGTTAGTACATATAAAAACATGAATATAAACAGTCAATAAAAAGAAGAATTACAAGAAAAAGCCATTTTTAAGATTGTATTTTATAAACGCTGTTCAGTGTACAGTAAAGCTATAGAATTAGCAGGTTAAACTTGAGTTGTATCACCATCTTGACGTAAACTATGTGAAAATTAACCATAATATTGTCAAGTCATACTCCGCCAATTGGGCTCCAATGGGGGATAAACGGCATTTTTATCCTCATATTAATAACATTTAGAATCTATACTATAAAGGGCTATCCAGAAAGGATGAAACTTTAAAAACAAAATGATCTTATTGTGTTACATGTACTCTAAGCGTAATTTCAACAGACCCTCCATCCAAAGAGTTAAATATATTATTATAGATAAAACTTGGAAAGATCTCATTAACTGTTGGTAACTTTAAGCAAACACACATATCAGTATACAATTTAGTCCCACATATAATCTAATCTGAACTGAAAACTTTAGAATGAGATATCCTTAATCCCGATTACTTAATCTGAGTATCCAATGGACACACTTTTGATTTTTTTCTTAAACCGTTCTTTCTTGGGTATAGTAGAGAAAAATCAAAAAACGATTTTTATAATTTAGAGAGTACCTCCCGTTTCTGTGTAACATCTTCAATGGCGCGCAAAATTTCAAATTTATCGGCTTCATATATGCGACTCTGATTGGTTGAACTGTGTACACTTTTCAGGATACAAGATTAGGTTAGCCTCGATATTAAGAAAAAGAGACGATCAAGCATTAATCTCGATATCCACCATTCTAAAGTTTTTAGTTGTGATTATTTTTCCGCTGAAATTATATGAGTTCAATTGATGTACAGCGGGAGGAGAGCAGCCATAGTAGAGCTGTTTTCAGGATATATATCCTTCATATATCGTCCATAGTAGAGCTGTTTTCAGGATATATATCCTTCATATATCGTCCATATATAACCTCAAATATGCTATAAATATTTAGGGTTGAACTCCTCATCACCCTTGAAGGTATAGTAGAGCAGAGTGGAAACACTGTACAGGCCAGGACATCGTTCCTTCCCTCTGAGATACTCTGGGGACATACATTCACAAACTGTGTTACTTTTGCTAATAAAGAGGTAATAAGGAAAAAAATTATAGAGGCATTAGTTTTTTGTCACAATCTCTGATAATTAAATCCCCTTTATCTTTGAAACCTAATGTCGTATAATACTGTTTATAACTGTTCTCTATCTTTTCTTCTTTAAAAACTTGAACCATTGCCATCTTAGGTCTTTGTTATCAAGTTTCTGTTTATGTGGTCTATGCAATTTTACTTATTTCCCTTAATGGGACTTTACAGGAAAAATGAAAGGGGGTTTAGGCGGAAAGCTAATCACTTTAGCTCTTGATCGCGACCCATGAAAGTTTTATCTGATGTTCCTGTCTCGAGAAATTGACATAAAACTGTGTTTAAATTATAAAACTATTTATAACCTTTTTTTTTGAATATTTTTTAATATTCTTGATTTATTATTCTTAGAAGCACCCCAACATGTTATTTAGAATTCCACCCCTGTCAGGGGGAGGGGCCTTTATAAACAGTACCCTAAGCTTTAATGCTACATGGTTATACTCATAAAGAATTAGACTCTAAATTCGACATTAATCTCTTTAAGTATTGCGATATCAAGGTCAAAAATTAATCTTTTTTCTTGAAATATTTTTAATGGAGTAACTAATGATTTGGCAAATAAAGCAACAATTGTTTACAGTTGCGGGGAATCATGCATTTACGGAAAAGGACAGTTTTTATTCCGTACCGTCGTCGCTGACGTCTCATCCTGTGTGAATAACCCTGTATATAACTATCCTAGAAAATAAAATGAATCTGAAAACATTAAATTGTTAATTTACTCGTGTAACCGCTGTCTCCGGCTATAAACTTAGCTATCCTGGGAGAACAGAGATGAAAACTTTAGAATGTGATATCCTTAATCCCGATCTGTTAATTAATCTGGAGATTAAGTTCATGAGGAGTATAAGCAATATATTTAATCTGGAGATTAAGAAAAAGAGTGGATTAAGCATTAATCCTAATATCCACCATTCTAAAGTTTTCAGCTCAGGAGAAATAACTTCAATTTAGGTTAATTTCCTTCGAGATAAAACGTTTACTTGCAAATATTTTGATGATTGTCACTAACTATTTTTGAAGATGTGGCTCGCAAAAAAAAGAGTTATTAGACCATGAATTCTATATAAATCGATCGTTCTTTATTTCATTTCTGATATTTTTGTCAAAGAACTTTGTTAATTCCACTTTTTACTAATTGAAGGCCCTAAGGCCCCTGCAATCTCTTTACAGAAAAAAAATATTTGATTGAGTTGTAACAATTGTAAACTCGCGGGTTCAAGATTTAACTACTGCGGTAAGCGATTATATCAATACAATGAAGACGACTTTTCATAAAATTTTTGACTATTAACAATTTTTTTTCGAATAACAACTTTACAAATATTCAAAGAGAAGCTTTTTTAATTGATAAATTTTCTTGACTTCCAGGTTTATATGTATCCATGCTGTTTAACAGCTTGATTTAAATCAGAATTGAAATCGAAAGTCGTCTTTATTGTATTGATGTAATGGCCTACCACTGTAATGTTCAACTTTTTGTGAACATTCCTTTTAATTGTGTTAATATTAGGGCGTATACTTGGTGGACCACAGTAAGATGGACGGAGTCCAGGCGGATGAAACCCCCCGCCTCTCCGCCAAGCAGCTGGAAAACCTGGACTTAGAATCGTCCTTAGCGGAGAAATTCGGATCAAAATATGCGAGCAATAATAAAACTCTAACGCGGTAGTTCACATTCAGTACTGTACACAACTTTACAGTTTGACATCATTTAGTACAATATTCTTGGAAAACATCTTTCAACAGTCGGGCCCCTTTTGTTAATGTACTTTTTCGTACATAATTTAGGTCAATACTATTAAAAACCATCTTTCAACAATTTGACACCTTTTATTTTTGTAAATAATTTGGTACAATACATTTGAAAAGCATATTTCAATAGTTTCAAAACTTTTATGTATGTACATATGTGTACATAATCTACAACAATACTCTTGAAAAACATCATTGAACTGAACAGTTTGACCCCTTTGATTTATGTACATGATCTGATTTTGTACATGCAGATACAATTAGCATTGGAATACATAGGAAGGCAGAATTGAGGGGAAACGGATTTATCAGTGGTTAAAATGAGCGAAAAACGAAAGAATCAAAAGCACATTTAAGATTATTGTTCTGATGTTACAAATGATATATTTTAAAGGTAATACTGAAATGCCATTTCTAGAGAAACTTTAGTTAATAAGAAGCATGCGCTATACATTTTTATATGATAAATCATCTAAAAGATATCGTCGTTTTTTTCCAAATTTAAAAGTGTGAATTCTGACAAATTCCAACTTTCTTTCTGAGCCAGAAATTCGCAGCTCATTTTATAAGCAATTGATAAAGTACATAAAGAAAGAGTCACTTGAAATTACTTTTATTGCACACTGTAGTTCACTGTACACAGTAGTACACTGTACACTGCTGTACACTAGTATATTGTACACTAGTAAACTGTACACTGTATTACACTGTAAACGGCAGTACACTGTTCACTGTAGTACTATGTACACTGTAGTACAATGTACACTGTAGTACACTGTACACTGTAGCATACGATACACTGTAGTACACGGTTCACAGTAGTACACTGTACGTTGTAGTATATTGTACACTGTAGTACACTGGTTTTCCTATTTTTGCTACCAAAGACGTAATCATTTCTGTAGTACCTGTAAAATCTTTATGTATAAGAAAATGAAAATAAACGCTATCCAATACCGGCCAGAGATTTATTTTTGTAAATTATTGATAAATTTCAATGTGAGCTTTCCAAGATTTTATTTTTTTTTGAGTAAATTTCTTAAAATTTTTCAACTTGGAAGAAAAAGAAATGGCAGATCACCTTTTGGAGATCCCATGATTTAAGATATTTAGTTGGTAAATGATTTGCTTGTAACAGGTTTATAGTGATACTATCTGTGTTCTCGAAAAAATGCCGCGTGGGTCAAAGTCGAGAGTCGAAATATAATTCATCAAGTTTTATGGGTTTTAAACACCCTGTAGGCTGTATAGTGTATGGTAAAGTTAGTAAAAAATATTTAAAACTTTTCTTTTTCCTGTTTTTGTGGATAGTTTTTTTTACAGAAAAGTAAAGCAAAAGTAGACAATGAAAAGTCGAAAGCACGGAGTTAGAAAAAAAGTTTCAAAATTAAATGTAACAACTTAAAAGTTAAAGCATGCATGCAGATTTGTTTAAGGAGTGAGAGGTTTTTTTTTTCAAAAAGGGAACTAATGCAGTGTTTAATTTTTAACAGAAAAGTTTCTGTTTATATTTTGAAAGTCAACCAACAGAAAAGTTGTTGCTTTCTGCTTGCTTATTTTCAAAAAAAAATATCCCAAACATTTTGAAGAAAATTGAGTCTTTGCCACAAACATAAATTTTCTAGATTTTTTATCTAGCATCATTCATAGTTTGAAATATCAAAGGTCAAAAAGATAGCAAAGATATTAGAAAATTAGCGTTTGTGGCAAAAACATAATTCCATTGTAACTTTTATTTCTTTAAAAATTTCCCATGGACATTCAACATTTCACTTCAAGATGTTCACAAACAAAGTTCTGAAACTTAAACGACATCTAATAAATCTGTATCAGAATGTATTGGCCCAATTTCTTAGTTGCACACACTATGGTTACGCTCTGCCAGATCAGTGTAGATTGGTAGCACGATTAAGAAATTGGGCTATGATCTAGTAAGATCTTTTTGGTGTTTTATACAGGAAACTCCGATAAACATAAGAATTACGTGATGACCGTCCTGAGCAAAGTTTCATATTATATGAACACAATTATAATAGCATTCTAATTGAAGTGTGACTAGAATTTAAGAAGTTGCTTTAACATTAACGGAGAAATCATAAATCAGTGATGATTTTAATTTCTTTGATAAAATAAAAATGGTCTTTATAACGTTACGAAAAAAGCTCCACGGTCTTAGAAAGCCTTAAAATAATACTTTCAAACTTTAATCGCTTTGGGGTAGAATAACTATGTAAAACGGCATAATTTCTTCCAAATAAAAGAAAAATAGTGGTTAGGCTGGTTTTTCACTATAGTTTCATTAGAAGTAAATATTTCCATTTACTGATAGCGCCAATTGAAGGATTTATAACTCTAATTGGATAATGAGATAGATAGAAAGATAGATCTTACCGCAATACTATGTCTATTGGTTCAGAATATACATCAAACACATGACTGAACTCTGATATGGATCAGGTTCTAATGGACTCGGCATACAGGAGTGTTTTTAACATGAAGAACAGGTAGAAAATGGCTAATTAATCAACCTAAACCAAATCAAACAATTTCTTTATTCTGAATATCATTTCATAGTTTCTGAAAGTTATATTTTATTGTCTTTAAATCAGTAGTCTTCAGTCTTCAACTATTCTATAATTCTATAGAGTATTTAATTTAATCACAAGTTAAATCCACACATATATATCAAAGTCTTGTCGTTATCAGGGGCGCATACAGGAAGAAGGGGCTATGGGGGGTTACGCCCCCCTTCTTGGTAAAAATTCCTGTATACGACCCTGGTCTTTATACAGATCTTATTCTTCTTAACTTCAAAGAATGTATTTTCCAGTATTCAGCAGATATTTACTTCTGACAGGGTCAACTTCCTTAAACCTAGAGTTAAATTTACATTTTTCGTTTAGGGGGGGGGGGGCAATCTTACTTACAGTTTTCAACAATGAAAAGGCAAATCTAAAGTTTAAATATTTGTAAATCTAAAAAGATTTTGTCCAATATTTTGTTGCAAATATTTGGAAAATAAAAAAAACTTCTAAAATTCAAATAAAATCATGAGATATGTAATGAGAATAGGGGCACAGTGGTTGGGGGAGGGGGACATTGTAAGAAATATGAAAAATGTCATAATTAAAAGTGAAAGAACAAACCATAAATATTTAGAATTTGATTTGGGAAATATTTAGTTTTTGTTTCCCGAGGTTTATCGTTGTCTTCTTGTTAAGCACTAGTTCTCTCCTTTTGCCAGGCTTTCAGCTGTGCAGCCTGTTCTTCTGTTAAAGCCTAGAAAAAAACGTAAAAAAGGTTTTTTTAAAAATGACAGTAAGGAAAGAGAAACTGACAGTTACAAATAATGAAGAAATATCGAAAGTGTAAATTCAAGTAATCCTCCATACAAAGAAGCAAGAAATGCGCAAGTCACTTTTGCAAAGAAACCAAAATTTAAAAAAAGGTATTAAAAAAACATGAATATCTAGTTCACACTTGCTCTGACAAAGGGTATCATTGTCAACCAGGCATTGACATATTTGCATGGAGGGTCACTTGGAATTACGCATCCAATCCCTATTATATTAAAAAGTACCGTAATGCTCTTGATTTTGGCGGCACTCTTTATCTTCAGCACCGGAGAAATGCTTCCCACTGCAGATAAGCTCTCAATATTATCCATGGTCTTGATTTTATTACTCTGTTCACTACCGTCTACTTCTCCCTCCAGAGCAGAATTTCCACCAAGACCGAGGAGATCAAGTCCCTCTAGTCCTCCTAAACCATCTCCTCCAGAGCTGCTACTGGAGGAATATGAACTTTTGCTGCTGCTAACCTTTGTGCCATCTCCTCCAAGACCATCTCCTCCAGAGCTACTACTGGATGAATAAGAACGTCTATTGGAGGTAACCTTAGAGTCGCTGGGTTCTTGGTCTGATGGTCCCAAAGTGTCCATCCTAAATTGTCCAGACTCTTTGGCTTTAGCGGCAATTTTCTCTAGGTCATCAACGTATCCAAGCTTGTCTTTGCTGTCTTTCTCTATAACAGTCTTTAATTCGCGGATTTTCAAGGCTATACTTTCGGCTTTGGTCCTGTGCTCCTGCTTTACTTGTTCAATTCCTTTAATTTTATCTTTTGCTTGCTCCAACATTTTATTCAAGGCTTCTTCGAACTCCTTTTCCTTCCCTTGAAACCAACAAATATTCAATTTTATTAAAACATTATGACACAACCGGAGAATGGAATTGATGAATGGCAGTTGAACTACAGTCCTCGTACATAGCAATACAATGAAGACGACTATGGATTTTAATTTTAGATTTTAAAAAGCATGAATACACATATAACATAGAAACCAAGAGAAGCTATCTCTTAACAGCTTCTCTTGGTTTACTTGCAAACTTATAATTTGAAAAATTAAAACTTAAAATTTAAAAAAAGTCGTCTTCATTATATTGATATAAATTTAAAAATTTATAGGTTAGGATAGTTGAATCTTTTTGTCTAAAGTGATTAAGATCTCACTTTAGAAATGAATACAGTGAATCCCATATATATGGATACATAGCGGGAGTTTTTATAATGTCGTATTCTCAACATATTTAAGGCCAAATGCCGCGGAAAAAAAGCGAGTTTAATATATCAATATTTCAGAACTATAAATTTCCTTTGAATTAAAAATAAAAGCAACTTATTAAAAATTATCAAAAATCTTATGACCCTACAATGATATTTGGTAATTTTCGTAAATCGTATTTACAAATTTCAAGCTGCGAACATCTCAGCAGCTTTCTTTTTGTGCAAACCAATAATGAAGCATAACCGCTGTCATATATTTCAAAATAAATTTCAAGACGACATTATGTGCGCTCTTGCTATTTATTCATGTGAGATTGGCTGTAGTTTCACTATCCAAGCCTATTTCATATACTTTTCGTTATACATATCCGGGATTAATAATAATAATAATAAGTATTTGAAACAAGGGTAAGTTGTTTAGCGACCTAGCTCAAATTCGTTAAATTTGGTTCCTGACTTTTTTAAATTTTAAAACTGAATGTTTTGCCTAAATCAATCTTCAGCTGATTCAGTTCTTTTATTTTTCGATCCATATCACTATCCACCCGCTCTATCTCTCTAGAAGCAGAACATATAAAGTATTTTTTCTAATCCCTATATATTTGTAACATGTTGGTCTAAACCGTTGACATTTCGAACTTAAGGTATTTGAGCTAACTGCAGAATTCATAGGTTAAACTATTAAACATCTAGGACATTAGGTTGTAAAATAATTCTTGAATATTCTTATAAAGGTAACTTTGAATTTAATTAATTTTTAAAGGAAAATTGTTTAAAAATTACCCCTGAATATAAATTTTAGATTGAAAGTAATATTATGATGCAATGTTTTGAAATGTTCTATTCCTGTTTACATATTGTAGTTCTTTGTCTTGCTCAAGATCAGATGTTAACCCATCTGAAAACATATCTTTAAATTATTTATTTAACATTTTTAGACTTATATTTTTACCTAAACCCTTTGTGGCATCATCAATGTTTAAACTAGAAGTTTCTGAGGTTTGGCCAGCATATCCTGCTCCTAAACTTGAAGGTTCCTTCCCTTCTTCTTCAACCAGGTCTGATCGCATTTCAAGCCCACCAAGCCCATCAGGTTTGGCATATCCTAAATTGAGAATTTGGTTTTTAGAAAAGTCCAATTTTAAATTTACTTTTACATTTACAAAAGTCTATTGATCATAATATTATAGGACTGCAGATTTAACTTCAAGTGAATCTACATTTTTAAAGTGGAATGTCTAATCCACATCTGTACTCTTCAAACCTTAATGTGACAAGCAATGAAAAATTTTATTCTTAAAATAACTGAGTTGTTACAACAAACTCCAATTTTCCAATTCTTGTATCTTTGCAACCTGAAGTTGTAGACCTTTGATATTTCAAACTTAGATTATTTGATCTAACAGAATTTATAGTTTGAAATATCAAAGGTCTCCGACTTTGTGTTGCAATTGAATCGGACAAGCCAGTATGAAATATTGACCTGCATCAGCTCCTCCTCCTCCTCCGCCTCCTCCTCCTCCTCCAAGAGTTTCTGTTTTCTTAATTATCTCTTCCTCAGCTTTTGCATATGTGTCGCCTTTGGATGAATCCGGACTTTTAATTTCATATCCGGAGGCGGTCCCGGCCCCAGTCCCTGTCCCGGCTCCAGCCCCTGTCCCGGCCCCGGTCCCGGATCCGTTTTCCGTTGTCTTAGAGGTATATTTAGTTGATTTCTTTGTGATGCTACTTGCTTCGCCATCACCTACTTTCTCAATGGATTCAATTGGAATAACGTTTATGATGTCATCAATGTCATTTATTTGAAACAAATCATAGAGTCGTTGGATTTTAACCCTCAGCACCTCATCAGAATCTAGAAGAAAAAATACATTATTTCTCAATATATGGACATGGTTGAACAAGGTTGTATAAAAAGGTTGTTTAATTTTGTAAGTTGAGTTCTAGGTTCTTTTATACGGTTGGTTATTCTCGATGCGCTCCAATGTACGGATAATGTCGTCTCCTTATATGCACGGATGGATAGAATTCACAAATTACGTAACTCTCGCCTCTATAATCAGTGACGTCATATACGGATTTTATCTATCTATGCTTAGGAGACGACATTTCCAGTACATTGAAGCCGCATCGAGAGTAAGCAAGTATACAACCTTGAGTTGAACTGAGTAGATCTGGTTCAATGCCCTTCACTTCAACTGGTATACATAAGAAGAAGTGGTTTAACTAAGTGTACACGGTTCAGCTACTTCTCGCTAGTCATTAAATCTATAATTATCTTTCTTTACCTCCATTGGCTGATCCTGATGATTTATAACTTGAAGATGAGGAATAACTGGAGCCAGAAGATCCTTCTCCTCCTGCCCCTGCTCCCGCCCCTGCCCCGGCTCCTAAACCTGAACCTGATCCTGAACCTAATCCACTACCAGAGCTAGAGCTAGAAGTATAGCTGGAGCTGGATTTAGAAGAAGAAGAATCCGTTGGAGTGCTTTCTTCTTCTTCTTCTTCATCTGCTCGGAATTTAAGGTTGGCTCCTTCTCCTCCTCCTTCTCCACCTTCTCCACCTTCTCCTCCTTCTTCTCCTTCTCCGCCTTCTCCGCCTGCTGCCCCTCCCCCAATCTTAAATAGACATGCGATAATCTTCTGGTGAAGTCTTTTTAAACGTCATATTTTAGCTTCTCAAGATAAGAGTTTAATAAAAACATTGTTTTCTATGTTAGAACGTTTCAAATACAAAACCCTTCAGATTTCCTCGAATGAGAAAGTAAATATCATGTTTGTTTTCAAACCAATTAAGATTAAGTTTAAGTGGGTTAAGATGTTGATCTTGGTGTAAGCTAGATTTAATTCTAAAGGAAAAACTCTAAATCTTTATTTATGTTTTAATACGAACAAAATAAATCAAAATTCTCTATTTCTCTTAGATTTAGCAAACTATGAAATTGCATACTTTTTCTTACGAATATTATAAATTTCAACAAAGAAGCCTCCCAAGGTACAAAGCTACTAATCTGCAACATTTGAACTCGATAACCAAAGGTGGAAACTTTTAATGAAGTGCTTAATCCGTAAAATAGCTGTCTCATATTTTAGCGATTCTACACCAACCCGACCTTTAAATTTATCAAGAAGAAAGAAATCGAGTCTTTGCCACAAACTCAAATTTTCTAATTAATATATCTTTTTCAGTCAGAGATGAAAACTTTGTATCAACAAAAGTGTATAAAACCTAACCAATCGAATGGGGTTTGGAGAAACCAGAACAGCCAATCAAAGAAGACAGAAAATTAAAAATTTGCGCGGCATTTAATGAGTGAACTCTCATTGGTTGGAAACTGCAGGGTGAGAAAAAGAAAGAAAAAACTCGAACTAAGAAGGAAATTCAAAGTGTCCACATTGGATATTCAGATTGAGCGATCGGGATTAAAGGTAAAGGGTTTGGATATATCTAAGGGTTGCGAAGAGTTTGTGAAAAGGGATTAAATAGTCTAAAGTTATTACCTCCTTCTTCATCTTTAGTGCTAGATCTTCATCAATAGGAATCATCTCCTCTATCTCCTCTAGGTCCAGGATATCATGAACAGCTTTGACTTTATCCATCTTCTCAATCTTGTCCATACCAATAACCTGAGATGTGATGTTATGAACAAGGAGAAATTGAGAGTTTGTGGAAAAGACTCAATTCCTTTAAATGGTTAAAGTAAATATTCTTCACCTTTAATTTTTCTTGAAAAGGTACAACATCCACGTCAGCTCCTGCCTGCATCAAAAACATAAAAATAACTTGATGTCAGATTACTATATTTAGATTCATCAATATGGTTAGAAAATTAAAAATTAAAAATTGGCTGCTTTTTTCTTGAAAATATGACCTGGGTTCCTGCATCTTTTTGTTTCACCAACTCTTCAACATCTTTAACGCTTAAATTTCTAAAAAAAAGTTCATCATCCAGAATTAATGCCTTTTGGGACCAGTTTGATAAATATGGAATCGTAGTTGAACAACGTAGAATTTTTTGAACCACTTCTCTTGTGGTTTAACTTATACAAACGTGATCCAACTACAATTCTCTCATCATTAAATTTGGTCCCTTGACCTTGACCTTTGTTTTGTTTTCTGTATCCTAGTATACAGTGTACACTGTATTAATATTTGTATCTATCCTGTATTCTGTATCCATATCTCCTGTATCTTTTTACTACATATATCACGGTCATGTATCATGTATCGTGTACCCATGTCTCTTGTATTCTGTATCCAGTCTCTTATATCTTATATCTTGTCTTCTGTATCAAGTCTCTTATATCCTAAATCTTGTATTCTGTATCTTGTATCCTATACCTTCCTTGTGTTCTTTATCATGTATCCTATACCTATTGTGTATCCTATACCTACCCATTGGTTTAGCAAGTGTCTGTATCCTATACCTATATCCTGTATCCTGTGGTTTTCCATTGTCTGTATACTGTATCCTGTATCCTATACCTACCCTGTATTCTGTGGTTTAGCATGTTTCTGTATCCTGTATCCTATACCTATATCCTGTATCCTGTGGTTTACCATGTGTCTGTATCCTGTATCCTGTATCCTATACCTATATCCTGTTTCCTGTGGTTTAGCATGTGTTTGTATCCTGTATCCTATACCTGTATCCTGTATCCTATGGTTTACCATGTGTCTGTATCCTATACCTATCCTTTGTCCTGTTGTTTAGCATGTGTCTGTATCCTGTATCCCATACTTACCCTCTATCCTGTGGTTTAGCATGTTTCTCTGTATCCTGTATCCTATACTTACCCTGTATCCTGTGGTTTATCATGTGTCTATATCCTGTATCCTATACCTACCCTGTATCCTGTGGTTTATATTGTGTCTGTATCCTGTTTCTTATTCCCACACTGTATCTTGTGGTTTAGCATGTGTCTGTATCCTGTATCCTAAACCCACCCTGTATCCTGTGGTTTAGCATGTGTCTGTATCCCGTATCCTATACCTACCCTGTATCCTGTGGTTTAGCATGTGTCTGTATCCTGTATCCTATACCTACCCTTTATCCTGTGGTTTAGCATGTGTCTGTAAGACGAGAACTATGATAAGACCCGGGAGAGTCTGCATAGTCCTGATATCTGGAGGAGTTCAACAAGTCTTTATACTTTATAACAGTGTACAGGGAGAACCAAAATATTTAATCCATCGCGTGATTTTCTCCCAGATATTTAACTGTTTGTGGGTCAGATAAGAAATGTTAAATTCAAATAAAAAAGTTGATTAAAGGAGGTTTGTCTTACTTTTTTAATCTAGTAATTTGAGTATTGAAACAATGACTTTTGTTTTAGAATGGGATTTGCTTATTGTAAGGAACTGAAGTTTTTAAAGAGAAAAGTTTGAAAGATATCTTTTTTTAAAGAAAAATTGAATAGAGAAATAATATGTTTGTAATTTCTTACTTCTAACCAATTAAGTTTTAGTTTCTCACTCTTTTTTATACATTGAAAACTAGATGATATACTAGGTTGCCAAGTTATACCAGTACCTTACTGAACATGATTAACAGTGTAGTGAGGAGAGGGGGGGGGTTATATTTGAAAAAATTAATAAATTAAAAAATTTGTTTGTTTTTATTGTTGGAAGGTTGTAGAAGATAAATTGACATTGTTTTGTCTACTTCATATTCATGAATTCTCTTTGGGACGTGACCTATTCTTCAAGTTAAACTCCTTTCTCAGCTTTTTTTTTACCAGAGCTGAAAACTTCAGATACCTTTAATTAGGATCGCATAATCTGAATATCCAATGTGGTCACTTTACTACTTAGTCCGCTCTTTTTCTTTCTATTTCTTTCGCTGCCTGCAGTTTCCGACCAATTAGGGTTCACTCATTAAATGGTGCACAAAATTTCAAATTTCTCGGTTTCTCTGATTAGATGTTCTGGTTTCTCCAAACCCCATTCGATTAGTTAAGTTATTTACACCTTTGTAGATACAAACTTAAGATTTAATTAATCTTGTACCCTTATACAAGATAAGATTAGAAGGAAATTGTGAGAAGTATATATTAGTTAACGATCTAAAGTAGAAATGCAGGTTTAGAACAGATTGCTCTTTACTTCTTCTTCCATTCTTCTTTACTCAATCCTCCATTCCCTTTTCCTCGTATCTTCCATTCCAGATTTGAAAGTTTTCTTCGATATTCAAGATTCCTCTATGTTGAAGTTTCTCCTTGATGTCCTTTGTTTATCTCCCCACTCTATTCAGATTAATTTAGTTATGAACTGTTTGTATTAGTATTAGATGTATTTTATCAAGATATTATTTAAACCTATGTTTTGAGCCCCCCCCCCCCCTCCCCTTTTTTATCTAAAAAGAACACAGAAACTACAGGGGTCCTAAAGGGTCCCAAAAGGTTTCCAAAATACAAAGTCTTATCTTGCAGATTTAGGTATAACCCGGAGCTAAAAGTACGATATCTAGATTCCTACCGTACTGGGAAAAGATAGGACGGACGGAAAGTTGAAATCTCCAGTCTGAATCAAACCCCTCCATATATTCCAACTCCTACCTCTCCTAGCCAAGCTCCCTTCCTCCCATCTTATTCATACATTATCTGATATTTGCACCCCTATCAAGAATAAATATTATGTTACCCCTACATTGTCCATCCTTTAAGTCAAGTGTTATAAAGCGTATTAGCCAAGAGTCAGAGCCCTGAGAGACATATATTTTTATGACACAACCTCCCAATCAACTCCCTACCTATCCCAGAACATAATTTGATTTGCCTATCCAATTATATTAATTTTCGTTAACTAACATAGGGCCAGCAAATCGAAACCACATACCGTGGTTAGGCGGGTCCAAACTGCATAGTAAATTGTGATTGCTTATTTGTAATATCTCATGCTTTGTAGTTGAATAAAAATATGAAATGAAATCTTAATAACAAGCGTTTCCTTCAACAAATATGCAGATAAGTTCGTAATTCTTGATTTTTTTGTGGTAATTCATTCAACTTTTCCCATCCCTAAACTGTAACGTGGTATTGCCTATTCATAAAGCATAAGTTTGGGCGCTAGCTGTTTAATATATTCTATATTCAAAACTTTACCACTCAACTGCAACTTCACCGTAAACAGCTTTAGTAACAATTCTCCAGAACATCCACAGTCCACACCCCCTTGATATTTAATTGTGAGTGTTGTGCGGCATTCTTAGATAGTTGTGCAAGCGACAAGAGAAATAAACAAATTAATTAAAAAATATTATAAAATATAAACTATATACAAATGTGGCGAAAGATAATCGATGACTATAGGTTGTAATATCTGAATGATTTGTTAGAAATTAAATTGATTTTTTTACGGTCTAAGTCGTAGTTGCAATTTTCTGAATTTGTATGGCCGCTAAGCTATTCGGTATGAGACGTCTTTAACAATTTTCTCCTTACAGGCGCAACAGATAAAAATAATATTAGTAGCGATCAAAAGCGCTTTTTTATCGCACTAAGCCTATACCCCCTTTCATTTTTCGCGAACACTCCCTTTAAAGGTACTCTAAGCGTAATTTCAAGTCTTTCAAGTGACTTTCCATTTAAAGAGGCTCATCCCCGTTGCACACAATGCTACCCTTTAAACCTTTGACTTATATCAAAATATTAAATGGAGGAAAATTTGAAGTAATAGATGAACTACATGATGCACGTCATGCATAAAAACACGGCATTAAAAATTAATTAAAGGTTTTACTTGCAGGAAAACCCGTACCTGACTTTCATATTATGTTTCTCCATTGAACGTCCAGATGGCTTGAGGATTCCATGCAGCGGCTTAAAGCGAGCCTTGCTGCTGCCCACCACTGATTTAGATCTGGAATAGACTTTACAACCGGGTTTACAATTTCTTGAGGGTATTTTACAACTTGACCTAGATCTTGATCTTTTCTCCGGCAGGGTTCCCAGATTCTCGGAGAATTCACTTAACTGATCCACGTTAATCCGAGAGCTGGTTCGAGTAGAGTTCCTTGATCTCATTGAGGAATGGTCTGATGATCTTTCTCTATCACCAGGTGATCCTTGATTACATCGAGAACTTGCATTCCTTTCAGTCCGTCCAGGTCGAGACCTTTTCTCCCTAGATGCATCTCCACGAACCCTAACCACCATCGAGTCATTAACTTCTTTCCTAGAAATAAATGAAACGTAAATGTATATATTTTACAGCTGCAAATTCTTTAGATAATTTTCAAAGTTTTAGCACGGATGTATAGTTTTCAGAATTACATCTCCGCCCCGGCCTGGCCGGAATGGTTTACGATGAATTTGGGAATACAAATGAAAAAATGGACATCAAAGGACAAAGTTTTTCATCCTTTTAAATACTTCTCCCAAAATATTTGTAGTTAAGCAGTATTTTCACCAATTCCGCGCAAAAACTTTTGGGAGAAAAAATATTTTTTTTTGTAAAGATTGCTTAAAATTGTTATTATTATTGTTATTTGACAGCTGTTTCGTATTTTTTAATACTATAATAATAAATGTCGAACAAAACAGTTTTTAAATATTTGGGTTTTTTTTTACACAGAAAAATCTAGAACTTTTTTATCAGGATGGATGGATGTACACCTTTATTGTCAATTGACCTAATACAGGGTGTCCCAAAAAACATGGGAATTCAGTGACGAATTCGATATCGCCTTTGTTATGAATTAGCTTTGTAATACCTAATTTCAAAAGCCATAATATTATTATGTCTGCTAGAGTTTATTTTATGAAAAGGGTAAAAGACTGCAAAGATGTGTCTATAATGTCTCCGCAAGATGTACAGTGAATACGGACAAGTTCACTCTGTTTGTATACTGTAATTTTCTTGTTTTACTAAGTACAACCGGTTGCAGTCAAAACATAAACAAACAAAATGTAAACATAGCAGACGAAACTCTTACAGATTACAGCTTTCTCAGTAGGTATCATTTTTCCTAATTGAAGGATTTTTTTAAAAGACGATATCGAATTCGTCACTGAATTCCCATGTTTTTTGGGACACCCTGTATCTAATCTGCACATATCCGGATTTATTTGGACTGTTCGACTACAGCTGAATAATTTATAGTGCATCTTTCCGGGATTAGACCTAAATAGTTCACAGGATACAGGATACAGGATACAGGATACAAAAGTGTATGGTTTGACTAGCTGCTGTCTACTGGGGCTGAAAGAAATTAAGACTTTTTGTTGTACCCAACCTTGTGACTATTATTTTCTGATGAAACTAATGAGCTATAAACCGAAATTCTCCAATGGGGATTTTTGAAATAAATCGATTATTAGAATTGGCATAAATCCTACTATAGACTTGAAAAGTTTTAAAGAGCCAAGATTGAGTGGAATAACAAAGCATGGTTGCACACACAATATATTTACATTATAACGATACAAGTAATAATTGTTGGACCAACTAAAGTTGATATAAATATACATGACATTCGCCAGGGACGAATATATTTCCATTTGACTCTTCTTATCAGATGCTTCCTGCTAACTGACTCCCCCATGAAACTCCAGGGCAAAGATCGCCGACGATCTGCTTTCTCTGCCAGCAAGATAAATGCCTTTCGACTTGCTATCTCTATATAAGAAAGAGGGTTTAATACCTTTCCCTCTACACTGTTCCTCCTTTCTCCAGCATCAATCCTTGCACCCTGAGGCCGGGGGGTGGTATCTTTAGATAAGAGAAGGAGTTCAATACCCTTGTCCCCCTACACTGGTATGTATTTAAGGTTGTAAACATACCTGGAGTTCAATACCTTTTTGAACTGGATCTAGATTGTTTGACTTTATTCTTAGATTGCATTTGTTATGTGCGTCATTTCTCCAACTGGGAGCAATGAACTTATATGAGATTATGAACATAGGGATGAAGCCTTGGTTGGGTTCGCACTACAGTTGGAGAATTCCAGAAAATAAAGATATTTAAATACAAAGTCAGGTGCTGTGCAAGGGTTTACAATAATGTTCTAAACATTTTTCAAAACTCTGAAAATGTTCTGGGAAACCCTACATTTAATGCAAGATTTTGTTATGGCGGGAAATTAAAATTTTTACTCCTTTAGGATGGTTTCATCAAAAGAGTGAAATTTTCAAGAAATATTGAACAATTTCAAAAC